CACAAACTCCTTGTAATCTGTATATTAGAACAGATGGTCAGAATCCTGCAAATGCTACAATTAATTTAAATACAAATAAACTCATCAATGTAGCAGGTCCTACTGATCCTCAAGATGCTGTTACATAAAAGAGAATTATGTTGATAATAAACAGTCTACTAGTTTAGATATAGTTCCAAATACAAGGTTAACGTGTTTTGAAGTAAAATCTCAAACAATCAGATTAGATCCAGGATCATACACTATTTTTAGCTATAGTGATAGTTCAGGAATTCTAAGAAAACTGTGTATTGCACTTACGGGAACAATTAGTACTGGTAGTGTACCAGGTAACTTATTTTTTAAAATATATGCTAATAATGTACTTTGCATAGATTATGATTCTAATGTAACAGATGGTATAGGTATATAATACAGCTTTAGCTTGTGATTTGTTATTTTCACCACTTGGTGGACCCTATTATGCAAACTCTATACAAAGATGTAATGTATTTAGTACTAGTGCATTAGGAGAATTTATACATTCGATCTTCCCTTTACATCAAGTTTTTATATACAATTATACAACAAAACAGGCAATTTAGTGACATTTTGGTTACAACCTTTTATTACAAGAAATTCATCGTTGCAACAAACATTAACTACTATTAATCCGCTAATACCTCGATCCATCTCATCCATTAAGTTGTACTTATCAACGTTTAGATATGTAAATACAACTTATGGAAAAAAATATATGTTGATGAACACTATGGATAATGGAAACGGTATTTATTTAAAATATATTAGAATGATATGTCATTGGAGGATTTGGAAACTGGTGGGAATCCAGATTACGTATACAAGGGATATGGGCCCCCTTCAAATACTAACTCGGTTATTCAACCTTGGATACCCTCTAATGGCAATTATTATACTATACTTCCTGGATATGATGTTAACAGTCGATTCATCTACGTTTCATCAGGTTTATAAGATTTTTATCTATTTTCATGGAACGGATCGAATGTAAACTCATTTAATAATACATCATCAGGATTGTTGTATCAATCAAATAGTACAATTGGTCCAACAACTACAATTTTATTTTATAGAAACTTTGATTCATCTGAAAGTGTCTAGCGTTGGTAGTGGTAGAAGAATGGTAGTGACACTCAACAAACTTTTTCTTCAACTATACATCTTACCAACAACTTTTTCTTCAACTATACATCTTACCAACAACTTTTTCTTCAACTATACATCTTACCAACAACTTTTTCTTCAACTATACATCTTACCAACAACTTTTTCTTCAACTATACATCTTACCAACAACTTTTTCTTCAACTATACATCTTACCAACAACTTTTTCTTCAACTATACATCTTACCAACAACTTTTTCTTCAACTATACATCTTACCAACAACTTTTTCTTCAACTATACATCTTACCAACAACTTTTTCTTCAACTATACATCTTACCAACAACTTTTTCTTCAACTATACATCTTACCAACAACTTTTTCTTCCGAATTCTGTTTCCATTCTATGTTCCTAACATTCATCTATTAGATGTTTTATTGTGTGATGCGTAACACTTGAGATATTATAACTGCCTAACTCGCCTTTATTCTATCAATCTGATGTATTATTGTTTATTCTCCTTCAGCTAATTGCCTTAATAAATATAGGATAAAGTTGCATAAGTCGTATCCCTTAAGAATAAAATCGATTTATCAAGATTTATCAAGTAAATAAGAGTGAAAAGTAAGATTTATCTAGTAAATAAGAGTAAAAAAGATTTATCAAGTAAATAAGAGTGAAATGTTTTGTTCACTACATGTACTATTATTGTAGTTATATTTTATAAAGAAAATAAATAATCTAATTGCTTTCACGAAAAATAAACTAAATTTTCAAATACTTACATTGGTGCAACTAAAGAAAACGGTTTTTTAAGTTGTATCATCTATAGCCTATGTCGTACCTTAAGGATTCTTTAAGTCAGAAAGTGACGTGACCAAAATCGCAAATGGAAGGCATTATGACTTGGGGGAAAACAAACCAAAACAGTTGTTGTGCTAACTGTGTCTTCTAATACAGTCAAAATAACAATTATTATTTTTTTTTTTTCATCATCGTGGCATTCATTTATGAGTATTTGAAAAAGCTAGATGTAACATCGAAAAAATATATAATGAAAAGTTGACTTTACTTGGTAAGTGTATTTATTTGACATCAAGTTATAATTAAACATTTAATATGGTTTTAGCAAATTGTTTCTTAAAAGATTTATATTATTACTTCAGGTTTATGCTTCGTCACATGCTTGCTTGTTTTGCTGCACTGCTTAACTAAAAAAATCCGTTTGTTTTTCCCCAATCCATAATGTTTGCCGTTGTGTGACGTCAAAGCCGACTTAAAGACATTAAATTAAGCATCGAAATTGAAAAATAAAATCTTTTCCAATTATTTAGTTTACATGATACATAATCAAACAGATAATTCAAGTATTGCAAATATCACATCTTCACGTTTTTTGTTTTTTATCCAGCGCATAAACCGTGAGCCCATAATTTGAATGTCAAACAATTAGTCATGTTTTTCTCTTGATCTTCCCCACAAATTAAACAAAACCGATTAAATAAATTTTTGTTTGGTTTTTAGACAATTCTGTTTTTTTTTCATAGATTTTTTTACTTTCCAGTGTAGCCACTGCTGAAAGTTCTTTTTTGTTTTTAATCAAGAAGATGAAACTTTTTTGGTTTTCAGAGGTTTGAAAAAATATCTTTCTAAAGGTTGGAGACGGTCGGTTTTACAAGTAGGAAAGGATTAACATTAAAATTGCATTGTCGCACACTAGGCATATAGCTTCAATTTTTTTATATGGTTTTTTTATATGTCCATCCAAAAGTGAAGCACTTAATTATTATTACGTTTCTTGTAATTTTGTGCACTTTATAAAATGTTCCAAACATTGAACAAAAAGTTCTGATGTTATCCATCCGTTTTTAGAGCATCCAAAAACAGTGTTCAGTGGTGATCCTTTCCTCAAGCAATCGTTCATCCGCTTAAGTTTAAATATTATCATAGGAAGTAAAAATTCACCAGCATCATTCATACAACATACACCTGTGGTGGTTAAACTTCTTTCACCACTTGTAAATTGTCTAACTTGATGTTTATCTTTCTGAGCTACTGTTTTCATTGGTTTATGGATAGTAGACAATCCTGTTTTGTTAACGATATATATTTGGTTAGCAGTTAATTTGTAGACATTTCATACGGATCAAAAAATCCATAAACACACTTTTTATTAAAAGTCCTGGTGATTGGTGTCGCCTCTGAAGTACGCAAAGATAAATAAGAATTATCTTCATGAATTTATTGTACCGCTGCTTCCCTGCAACTTCTTTTTCTTTATTGTAGTGTTGTGGTGTTTGCAATTTGCAATCAATTTGCAGAAAAATTAATACTTTTCTGCCAATTACTAAGTAAGTATTATATCGGTTGCAGTAATCCCAAAAAAGCTTGATTCTAAACTGAGAGCATGTTCAACCAACTCCATCTCCATATCTTCGGCCATGTTCGTAGGCCTTCCAAAATAAACATTCTTATTTAAACTTTTAAAATGCATTATTTTTTCCATTTATTGTTAATACGTTTTGACACAATTATGGTTAATAAAATAAAAATTTAAGCGAAATCAGTTGAGAACTTTAGGTATAGAAGGTTCTGAATGTTGTATGATAATTACCTGGTTTTTTCATTATTGTTTTATAATTGTAAATATGTATTGAGCAGTTTTTTTAATGTTCATTTTTGAGGGTTTTTATTTAATAAAAACTTGTGTAAAATATTTGTAAATAGAGTTCAATTTAGTGAGAAAAAAAAATTATTTGGAAAGCAATGATGTTTTATTTCAAGAGAGAAAATTACAGAATAAGTTAAAAATGAATTATTTTCTTAATTCGTATTAGTACGATTTAGGAATTTCATACGGGTATGACTTACTGCCCAAGTTAACATTAAAAATAAACATATTCAAGCATCAAATAAATTCAATACAATCTCGTTTCGACCAAAAGATTATACACATTCTTTTGAATTTATATTTAATAAATTACATTACTTTATCAATAATTCACTTGCAATATTAAAACATTAGTAGAAAATTATTTAAAAAGATGAAATAAACTTGAAAGGAGGATTTAAAATCACTTTTATAGCAAAACATGTCACTAAAAACATCTGGTTGACTCAGATATATATTATATTTTGGTTGAATGCGTAATTGTCTGCGAAATTCATTCAGAACTCAAGTCGTACGATTTAAACACTGGTACGACTTAATCCATCTTATAGCTTTAAAACCAGTCGTGACCTTAGACCATTAAAACTGATAGACACGATTTGGTAAATCTTTGAAGCCAAATTTTTTCAGAGAATGTGACGTCACTTTGTGGCATAAAACTAGAAAAAACTAACTAGTAATAAAATTTTATTTAAATTTTTTAGAAAAATTCTTTTTATTTGAAATATATTGAATTTATTTTTATGGGATATATTCTTATAAAGACTAAATATAGTAATTACTATGTCAATTCTTTAAAACTATTTATTAATTACAATTGTAATAATAACAAACTATTATCCGTGAAATAATATATCTTTACCAGTTTTACTTCTTTTTGTGCAATTATATACCTAATTAAGATCATTAAAAAATATAAGATAAATCCAAAAGCAATCTCGACCTAAAAATGATTTTTTTGCCACAAACTGACGTCTTTAAGAAAATCTTTTTTCGGTTTTACTTTTAGATAAGTATTTTTGAGCTAACGCCGTGTCTATCAGTTTTAATGGTCCAAGGCCGCGACGAAACAAGAAGATACGATCTATGCTTAAAAAACATAAGCTAGTGAGTTAAAGTAACATTGAGTGCGTAATGGATTTTCATACCACACTTACGTCAATGCTTCTTAAGCTGCGCTTTTTTTGCATTAATAACAATAATTATTTTTGGATTTATATTTCAGTTGATATAATTTTAACATATAAAACATAACATATAAAACATAAAACGCCTTTTATTTTAAATAGTGTTACAAGAATACTTATAAACTTATTTTACAGTTCACTTATAATATGTCATTGCAAAACTTATTTTATCCTTTTATTAGCTCAGTTAATGCAAACTGCCTTTGCGTAAAACTGTAATTCCAATGCCTTTGGACCAACTAATGCGAAATATTGATGATTCAATAGATGGATGGATGGCAATAGATGTTGTTCCAGAGTAAATGGCAAAAGCGGTTGCTCCAGTATAGATTTGTAAAAATATTTGTATATACATAAGATCGATATTACATTTATTTATACATTCTTTTTTATACTGTGCACAAAGATAGCGATTATTTTGTATTTATTATTCTACTTAAATCTCTGTTTATCAACTTTGTATTGATTTATGATTCTACTTCGCACTTAATCAATATTTTGTTCTCTAGTACATAACCAGGATTAGCCAACACTATATGTGGTATTGTAACACAAACCTTTTTGTACAAATCAGGTTTGTTATAGTTTTCTAAGCTATTTGTTCTTGGATCAATTACAAATACTTTATGGTCTCTTTTTCCGCTTTGATCAAGTAGAGAAAGTTTGATTTTTTTCGTAAATGGCCAATCCAATAAACAGTCGTACTCGCCTTTAACAATATTAAGAAACAAAGAAATATGTGACCCTCTGTGTTCACCTAATCCGTTCAAATAGATTTGCATTGAAAGTTTATATCCAAACGGAGCTGAATAGAACGGGGTGCTACAAGTGTTTAGATCTTTCATTGACTTTTTCTCTTTATTGAACCTACTATCTATGTTGTCCAAACACCATATATACTCGTTTTTTGGTATACGGGATTCAAATAAACGAAATTTGCTATCAATGTTAATCATTTTGTTTTCTAGATTGCAAATTTGTTTTACAACTGATTGAAATGAAGTCTCTAGAAAATCGTCTTTTTTTTTTAATGCATCATATTTCATGGCCAAGTTTGTCACTAATTCTTCTTGGTAACTGATTTTGTTTTCAACTTTTTTAATTTTTTCAATTGCCAAGATAAGATGAAGGTTTGCTGATAAAGCAACGTGAGTATCTCGTTGACCTTGGGTTCCCTGATATAAAAACAGAAGTTATTTGTAAATATCATAATTAAATTTTGTTATCGTTATAAAACTAAAAAAGAAATCATTTTAAGATGAGATTACAAACTCGCTTGTTAGGTTTTTTTTTAATTTTTATTCGAAAATTGAACTTCTTAGAATTGCCGTAACTTGCTAACCCTCGATCTCAAAAGGTTTTTTTTTTTTTTCAGAAAGAATAAAAGACAAAGTTTTAAAGTTCTGAATACTTACAAGTATCCCGAAAATGATATTTTTAGAGGTTATTCTACACCTTTTCAAGATGTAATTGAGAAAACAAAAATTGTAATTAAGAATCGTAAGATGTAATTGAGAAAACAAAAGTTGTAATTAAGAAACGTTAGATGTAATTGAGAAAACGTAAGTTGTAATTAAGAAACATAAGATGTAATTTAGAAAACGAAAATTGTAATTAAGAATCGTAACATGTAATTGAGAAAATGTAAGTTGTAATTAAGAAATAGAAAGATGTAATTGAGAACACGAAAATTTTAATTTAGATATCGCTTTAAAGGAGTAAGTGTAAAGTGGCGCTTAAAAAAAATGGCGCGTAAAAAAATGGAGCGTATAAAATGACGCACTTAAAAATGACGCAAGATTTGTAGCGTAAATTTAATTTTTTAGGGAAAAATTTAGGGAAAAATTTATAATTTTTGGGCAAATGAATTTAACATAATAAACACTAAAAACATTTTAGGAAAAAATTTATAATTCAATTAAAAATTATAATTAAAAATTATATAATTAAAAATCACTTCATTGATCATTTAAGCACCAACTTGTACGTCTTCCATATTTAAAATAGTTGCATAGTGCGTGGTTGTGTGTTGTACCGCACGTGCACAATCTCCTCCCATTATAGTATTTTTCGCCTCAATTACAATTCGGTCTAAGTACTGCATGCGCTGTTCCGCAATCCCGTCACCTAATACAGGTGGAATGCGAATTGCATTTTTAACGTTACTTTTAATTTTGGACCAGATCGTTTCCACCGGGTTCAACATTGGACTGTAAGGTCCCAAACGTAACAACTGAGCTGGTGAATTATCAAACACCCTTTGCAAACGAGCGTGACAAGGAGCATTATTTGTTACGACGACCAAATCCTCCAAACGATTCCCGGATGAAACCCACTGGTGAAACATAGCCAACATCCACTCGTTACAGGAATCTGCTTTAAATGATCCCCTGCGAGTTTCTATCATGACGACATTTGTAGTTGAAATAGCTGCAATCAAGTGTATGTTTAAACCTTTTGAAGCAGGTACTTTCATAATTGCTCTTTTTCCTTGTCTCGCGCGTCCTTGCGTTTTTCTACAAAAAAGGTTAAAATTTGTTTCATCCAACCAAACTATCTGACGACCATTTTTGATATGTTCGTTGATGTTTCTAACATATTCAGCTCTTTTTTGTTTGTTTTCATAACTGTTCATTGTAGAAGGCTCCTTGTGCACTTTTTTTAATGATAACAATCTGCCTTCGAGGTAATTTGCTATTGTTGTTGTGCTAACGTTTATGTTAAATTGTCTTAATATCTTTGTTTTGATGGCCACCAATGTTAATTGACAATCATTTTCAATCCATGTTAATGTTTCTTCGATTTGATCTTCGGTCAACTTTTTCGGTTTAAAACCTCCTTTTCCGATGAAATTTGAATTTCCGCTGCAAACCCAATTGTATGCTGTCTTATATTTGATACCTAGCGTTTGCGCGAGATTCACCCAATCTTCAAATCGCTCCGCACATTCAACAACTCTTCTCCTGTCATTTGGAGAAGATAAAACGTAACGTTTCCTTTCAACTTGTTCAGTTGTGTGTATTTCATGCCGACAAATCGGACAACTTGAATCTGGTTGTTCCAGAACTGGACGTAAACAAATTTGGTGACATAAATGTTGACACGGATTTAGCTTAATCACAGACTTTCGGGTCATAGTGTATTGGCATATAACACAACGATCTTTCAATTCCATTATTATTACTTGTGCATACAAAAGCAAAATTTAAGATTATAACTTAAATTCATGTCCAAAAAGACCTTTTGTAACAACCTACAAACTTAGACTGTGAGTTTGCTATTTTAATTTATGTGTTCTCAATTACAAGTTACTATTTCTCAATTACATATTATGATTTCTCAATAATATCTTACGTTTTCTCAATTACATGTTGTGTTTCTTAATTACATGTTACGACTTCTTATTTACATGTTGTGTTTCTCAATTACATATAACGTTTTCTCAATTACATGTTGTGTTTCTTAATTACATATTACGACTTCTTAATTACAACTTTCATGTTCTCATTTACATCTTGAAAAGGTGTAGACACATCGGGACGTTAGAATAATAGGGTTTTATCTCCTTTTTATCTCCTTAATAACCTTAAAGGTTCTTATCTCCTTTTTGTTACGAATTTAACAAAACTTGTAATATTCTCTCAAGTTTTTAAAGTTAAAAATTGTTAAAATTAAAATTTGTTAACTCCTTTTAATTTTAAAAAATTTGTTAAATTCTTTTAATTAAAAGGTCCAAATATCAAATATCCTAAGTTGATTGCTTAGAACACACATTATTTATTATCTATTAAGTAATATAAATTGGTAAAGAAAAAATAGCATATCGGTAGATGAGAATTATAAGGTTCTATCTCCCAATTTTCACAGTAAAAAAATTTAATTTTCTATTTTTATTCATAATATTATTTTTGTGTTCAAAGTTATATAATTTTAGTATATTAGTTTTATAATTATTATTTATATAATATTTAAAAACGTATGTTTTTTTTTTTTCATTGTTAACTTCAACCTTATTTAATAAAAGTTGGAATTAACAATTAAATTGTAAACAAACAATTTTAAAAATTATAAAATTAATAATGTAAGATTAATTATAAACCATAAATAACATAAAACATTTTTAGAATTAAATTTGACAAATTATGCAGTGAATGAAGTATGACTGCTAATCCTGAAGCCTAAGAAAGTTGGGAAGCGTTGTGTCAAATGCTTGTCAGTTCTTAGTAAGAGACTTCCACATTAGTGAATTTCTTGAACTCGCTATGAAAATTTGACTGATGGCTAAATCTGATTGGAGATGAGCAAGTGGCATGAACTGTTGTGGTAGACAAGGATTTTTCTCAAAATGATACCATTCAACTTAGTCAACCAAAAAGAAAACATTTACCATTAGGAAGAGGTATATTTATTAACTATAGCATTACATTTTTTGTCATAATGCTGACAACCCTGACGGAATGCTGATAACGAATAAAAATAGAACACTTTGAAAAATGATATATCAATGCTATTAAACTTATATACTATAGTTCATTAAATATTAAACCATCTTTTTATAAATACAATCTAAGGCTATCAATTTGGAATTATTATATTAAATAAGTAAGATTTTTTTTACTTAGAGGCAGAAGTGATAATCAGAAGTGATAATGCCAACCAGCGTGATAATCAGAAGTGATAATGCCAAGCAGCGTGATAATCAGAAGTGATAATGCCAACCAGCGTGATAATCAGAAGTGATAATGCCAACCAGCGTGATAACCAGAAGTGATAATGCCAACCAGCGTGATAATCAGAAGTGATAATGCCAACCAGCGTGATAATCAGAAGTGATAATGCCAACCAGCGTGATAATCAGAAGTGATACTGCCAACCAGCGTGATAATCAGAAGTGATAATGCCAACCAGCATGATAATCAGAAGTGATAATGCCAACCAGCGTGATAATCAGAAGTGATACTGCCAACCAGCGTGATAATCAGATTTGATAATGCCAACCAGCGTGATAATCAGAAGTGATAATGCCAACCAGCGTGATAATCAGAAGTGATAATGCCAACCAGCGTGATAATCAGAAGTGATAATGCCAACCAGCGTGATAATCAGAAGTGATAATGGCAACCAGCGTGATAATCAGAAGTGATAATGCCAACCAGCGTGATAATCAGAAGTGATAATGCCAACCAGCGTGATAATCAGAAGTGATAATGCCAACCAGCGTGATAATCAGAAGTGATAATGCCAACCAGCGTGATAATCAGAAGTGATAATGCCAACCAGCGTGATAATCAGAAGTGATAATGCCAACCAGCGTGATAATCAGAAGTGATAATGCCAACCAGCGTGATAATCAGAAGTGACAATGCCAACCAGCGTGATAATCAGAAGTGATAATGCCAACCAGCGTGATAATCAGAAGTGATAATGCCAACCAGCGTGATAATCAGAAGTGATGATGCCAACCAGCGTGATAATCAGAAGTGATGCCAACCAGCGTGATAATCAGAAGTGATGCCAATCAGCGTGATAATCAGAAGTGATAATGCCAACCAGCGTGATAATCAGAAGTGATGATGCCAACAAGCGTGATAATCAGAAGTGATGATGCCAACCAGCGTGATAATCAGAAGTGGTAATGCCAACCAGCGTGATAATCAGAAGTGATAATACCAACCAGCGTGATAATCAGAAGTGATAATGCCAACCAGCGTGATAATCAGAAGTGATAATGCCAACCAGCGTGATAATCAGAAGTGATGCCAACCATCGTGATAATCAAAAGTGATAATGCCAACCAGCGTGATAATCAGAAGTGATAATGCCAACCAGCGTGATAATCAGAAGTGATAATGCCAACCAGCGTGATAATCAGAAGTGATAATGCCAACCAGCGTGATAATCAGAAGTGATAATGCCAACCAGCGTGATAATCAGAAGTGATGCCAACCAGCGTGATAATCAGAAGTGATGCCAACCAGCGTGATAATCAGAAGTGATGCCAACCAGCGTGATAATCAGAAGTGATAATGCCAACCAGCGTGATAATCAGAAGTGATGATGCCAACCAGCGTGATAATCAGAAGTGATAATGCCAACCAGCGTGATAATCAGAAGTGATAATGCCAACCAGCGTGATAATCAGAAGTGATAATGCCAACCAGCGTGATAATCAGAA